CTTCCTGCCTTCCCTGTACAGGTGCCCATATTTTCTTTTCTAACTCAACTCTTTAACTTTTGCCTCTATCAGTTCTCTCCTCCTGAAAGTGAATGGTAAGGGCACAACCAATGGTGAAGGCAGGAATGGGGGCATGATAATCTACTGGGATACAAGCAAATATATCAGACATTACTCTTTTGGCGTAATGACAGAAACTCAACTCAAACTTGATTATTTAGGCAAGGAAAGTGAATGTACTGTCCTTCAACCAAAGTGTAAGGGTGAGGAATATGCCACTCATTGGAGACTACTGCAGCAGGGTTCTCTCACCGTCTCACAGGCCTACTATTGCCACAATGTTCATCTCATTCTTTCAGACAGATTTCCTCCACTCTGTGGAAACAATGGCTACAGCTAGCTTCCAGGCTATTATAATACAGCAAGAGCCCCTTCTATTTTCTTTCATTTGAAAAACTCTTTGGAAAGGTTTTGATTAGCCAGGTGACACCAGGAACAATGAAATGTGATCCGAAGAGTAAGGTCTAAGATGATTGTGGCTCTTGTTCAACCACACAGTGGTGGGAAAGGAAGAAAGAACACATCTGAGAAGAAGGGTAATGAGTGATGGGGCAAACAGAAGCAGCCATACATGCATGCTGGTTTTCAGTGAATGTCTACTGAGTTCCTGCAATGTGCCCAGCACTGCACTGGTGCCACAGTCTAGTAATACAAATAATCTACAAATAAGCCCTCCCAAAGGAGGACAGGAGCAGCTGCCCTGTTCCAGGTGAGTTCCACTCTCAAGCAGCTCTCTGAACATGACCACAGCCAGATCTATCAGCCTGGTATCAGTCAGGAAAACTAAGCCACTGTGTCTCCAAAATAGTCTCTAAATTTCATTTAGAAATTAGGCTTTACACAGATGTTGGAGAGCTGGGGAGGGAAGATCAGAGAGTTGCCATGGAAAACCAAGGACACTAAAGCTGGAAAGTTAGGGAAGTTTTTGAAGACCTCTACCATCTGCAGCAATGATGTTGGTGGTTCTCACATGCTTGCTTGAAAAGCTGCTATGACTCTTCATGCTTACCTAAAGTCTGGCTGTCACCACATCCAGAAAATAATAGCTTTAACTTCTCTTCTGCTTTCCAAACCTCATGCAACTTCCTCTCAAAGGGAAATTCTACCCAGAATGAAATAGGGAAGGGGAGTCTGGGGAATGTAATTTCCCAGACCTTAGAAGGGTGCGATTATGATGCTGAGTTGGCAGCAGACAATCCGTCACAGCATCCTTACCCTGTTTCAGATGTTAGCATGTTGGCCAACGTTCATTGATGACCCATTCCTGCCAGTCACTGTGCTCAGTATTTCATATGTGTTTTCTCACTGAAGCCCTAAAACAACCCCAGTGCTGGTGTGAGATGGAGAGAGTAGGAGGGAGAGAGTGTTTTATTTTCTACATTTTATAGATAAGAAAACCAAAGCCAAGAGAGGGAACTGGCCAATGGTTCTACAGCTGAAGTAACAGTGGAGCTGTGGTTCAAATCCTAATCTCTGACAAGAAAACCCGATTTTTGAACTGCACACACCATTGCCCCACTAATCTACTCCTTCTTTGATGTAATCGTTGGTTATGGCCAAGGGAGCCAAAGCTAGTTTATTTTCCCATGTAGTTTCACTGCAGATGGCACTTCTGATTTCAATGACTGTTGTCATTTGGGGAAATATGTTTAGGGGATGCATAAGGCTTAAAGTCTAAAAGATAGATGGATTCTCCCCCACCAATTGTGAGGGAAACTATATAGACCGTGTACACCATGGATGGATGGGATTCCTTCTCCAAAATTATTCAAGGCAAAAAAAAAAAAGTATTTGCAAATGACTTAGTGATAGGACTAATCCTTTTTAAAATGGGTAATAGTAACTCTTCTGGGAAATTTTAAGAAAACTTTATGTCCTCATGAATTGTAACATAGTATGAAAGTATGATAAGATGAATTGAAAGGTGCTACTGCGATGAAAATGAAAGGCAGTTATAATGGAATATGAGACAAAGAGAGCTTGCCAGAAAAAAATGTACTAGTGGTTAATCAGAACAATTTTTGAAAGGAAGAGAGAAAAATAAGAGAGAGAACAAGAGAGGATGTAACAGAGGTTGATAATATATAAAAGATTCAAGTAAAATATTCTGGTCCTCAGAAAGAAGCAATCAGTAGAGCAAGAGTGTTCAAAGGGCTTAGTGAAGAAGCCTTCAATACCACTCCAGTCCTTCTGTAGGATCTCACACTCCCCATACAATCTCTGCTTGCTAATTTCATTTCTAGGTACTTTGATATTGGGAGTGGGGTATCTTGTATAATAAATATGATCTTTTTTGATTACTGCAAAGATGTATTCTAAAATAAATACATATATCTGAAATTTGCTTTATAAATGCATTTCGGATACATATATAATCAAACTCACAAATTTCCCAAGACCTCACTATAGAAATGATATATTGAAATCTTGGACACAGAAAGCTGAGAGCCAAATACTAGGTCACTATGACAACTCCATCAAGACTCAGAAGCCCCATGGGTGTCATCATGAAATAGCCGTCAGCCTTACCATCCTGTGTTCACAGAGAAAAATGCAGATGTATTTCAGTCCATGTGAAGATGAAAAAAACTGTGTCAAATTTGTGCCACTGGGAGTTAGTGTGCTGTAATTCTGATTTCTCAGCTTGTATGGGGAGGATGTTACAAGGCTGTCCCCATTTGGTATCTGTGATGATTTAAACACCTGATATTAAGAATGGCAGTAAAACTACCCTCTAGTTGCAAGAGAACATAGTTTTATTAATAATTAATAATCAATCTTCCATATTAGGGGGATGGATTCAAGACATGAAATGATTTTTTTAAAAAAAATTCATGAGGCACTAGCAACAAATTGTCTATGATAAAATGATATTTTAACCCTTTTGTCTGGTATTTGCATATCCTAACAATAAGCATCATCAAATGTGAGGTAATTAAACATAGTAATTTGCTAATTCCAAAGACGTTTCATGTCAAATTTTGAGAAGAAATAAGAATGATGTCACTTGTGGAAAGCAAACAGGCTACCTGTAGTGGTTTACAGTCACTCAATTGAACTACTCAGAGTTTTCAATGCTTATGATCTCTAGCTATTCCTAGATATTTTCTCCAAAGTCTTTAAGCTTCTTCCTATTCAACTGGTACAAGCTGCAACATGCCAACCTGTCATCATTCTATCATCCCTCACCACTGAAATTCAAAAGAAAATTCTTGCTGAGGTGGCTTGGAAGGAAACACAAAATTGTAAAATTATTAGTAAATAAGGCCTCTGGCCAGCAGTCAGGTAGCATGCATTCATTGTGAAACTCAATGCAGCCTCAAGGGTCTCTGCTATCTCCTCTTAGGGTGGCTTCTGAACTGTAGCTGGAAAAATGCAAAATATAGATAAGTGGATGGAGTCAAGTGGCATGGGGATTTGGTAAAGCCACTTTTAATTTCTGGAAGTCTGTATGAAAAATAAAACCAAAATCAAAATTCAAAAGTGTTGGGTAGAGTGAACCCAATCTCTAGATATTTGGCTGTACAGACTCAAAAGCCCCAAGCCTTCTGGCCAAGTGCAGTATGATTGGCAGCTCGCAGAGATGTCTGGGATGGAAATAGCAGGCGTGTGGATCACGGCTGAGGTGAGTAAAACAGAAATGTGTAAATCCCTGGAGAAAGAGTGTGGAGAGAGAGAAATGGTATTTTGGCATTCAAGGAACTTTCTGGATTCAGTATATCATATCAAATAAAAGATAATGTGCACTTGGCAATAGAAATAAAACTTTAGGAAGGACTCATTAGGTGAGATCAATCTGATTCCTTTGAAAGAAATTCTGCCTCAGGTTGTAGAGTTGAGTAATTATGAATGTCAAGAAGGAACTTATTTAATTATAAATCAGAATGGGGATGAAACTGAATAGTAGCAAAAGGGAAAATAGGAGCAGCAGTGATTAAATGGTTTCAGAATAGTGTAATAGTACTTAGGCAAGGGTAATAAATTGCTGAAGTGTGAACTTAGTTTACAAACTTGTGACATATGGCCCTGCTGGGTTGATTTCTATTTTATCTAAGTTGGTGTTTTCAACCTGTTCTGTAATAGCCATGTCTCACTGTGTGTGTATTTGCTTTTCTTCTTGTCTTGACATCACATGCTGTACAGACACCACCATTAAAGCGTTTTCATAGTGAAAAAAAAAAGTTCTCACCGGTAAATCATGTACCAGCCAATTCCAAAATGAAAAGAAAAACACATGCAAACACACACCCTTATTCCCATAAAAATTCAGGTTTTAACCTTGAACCTCTGACATGTGGTGACAAAGAATGTAGATGCATAGGAGAGTCAAACAGAATCAGTAGCACCTTATTATCAAGTTCTACGGACCTCTGTTAATTCTTCAATCTGCAACATGGGGTCTACCTACCTATGCTGTAACATCTTTGAAATGAGGAAGTTATGATAGGGTAAGGCTTTATATAGAACAAACTTGAGTCTAGGACATGGGTCCATAACATATTGTGGAGAAGGAAGGAAGGGAGGAAGGAAGGAAGGGAGGGACGGAGGGAGGGAGGGATGGAGGGAGGGAGGGAGGGAGGGAGGAAGGAAGGAAGGAAGGAAGGATCCAGATAATTATGAGTTAGAATAATAGGCTGACAGTAATAAAGATTCCCAAGGTATATATATTCCAGAAAGTGGGAAAATGAGAGAGAGAAGCTCTGAGGAATGATATGGAAGTAAAGGAAGGTAAGCTGCTCCATGATGAGGTACCACAGAAAGTTTCTGCGGTGGCAGTGTTCTGGACCAATTGTGGGACCGTTTTGACAAGGATTTTATACACCAAATAAGGGATGGACATATTTTAAAATTCCATATGGATTATTTTGAACCTAACTGGTCAATTGTATGTTTGCTTCTCATCATACAAGAAAGATGATAGTCAAAGCCAGTATGCTTACCTAGGATTGGGTGTAATTCTCTGATGTCTGGTAAGCTCCTGTTTTCTTCACCTCTTCACAACATGCTAGGTTGGAAAGCAATTAATGGAGAGTATTATTATTACTACAGGGATGACCTTATATTTACTTTTCTTTTTTAAAAGAAGGAAATCACCTGCAAATTTCAGTTCTTAATTTTCAATATAATGCTGTTTGGGCATTTTTTACAATATACCAGTGTGTAGAACCACTATCGATGGTAAAGAACTCTTAAAAAATCAAAAGATACAAAGACCAAAATCCATTAGAAAAATGTGCAGAGAACCTGAATGGACAATTTACAGGGTATGATATGCAAATGACCCTTAAACATGAAAAGATGCTCATATTAAATTTTTGTCCACCAATCCCAATTTTAGTAATCTAACCTAAACATACATTCCTCAAAGTACAAAAATGTATGCTCAAGGGTATTCACTGCAGCATTATTTGTAAAATCAAAATAGTGGAAATGACCTAAATGCTCACACATATGAGAGTGGCTGAATAAACTAGGGTACTTTCATACAATGGAGGACTATCAAGCTATAAAAGGAATGAATATCTCTATTAACTGATATTGAGGGATTCCAAGGATATATGCATTAGACGAAAAAAAGCAAGGGCCCCCAATTTTTTATTACACTCTACCTTTTGTGTGAGAAAAAAGGCCATACATGTGTATGCATATTTCTTTCTTTCTACGTATCTGTTCTATAGACTGAATGTTTGTGTCCCTCCAAAATTCATGTTAAATCCTAACCCCAAATGTGATGGTATTAGGAGATAGACATGTCACATAAAATATACACGTACCTGTAAAGTAGCAGATAGTGCAGTTAAGAACACATTTATCAACTATTCCTAATTTTAAACTCTGTCAATATTTATACTGATCTCTAGGCATTCTCCCATCTCCCATAATTCTGAAATGTTTACTACAACTTCTTCTTTTTCATTTACCAAAAAAATTCCTCATTTCCTCATGATTTTTTTCTTCTCTTACCCCCCTTCTAAATGCCTACAGCTTCATTCACCAGAACTATTTCTGACTGCTCACTGTAAACTTAGTTCACTATGGAATTATTTCAAACCCCAAATTCTTTAAATAGGTTAAAGATTCCCTTTAAAATTTTAGACATGGATTGTCTGTAGTTTTTGCAGTTATAGCACGTTACTTGGGAATTCCCATCTGTATCCAATGTGAAACTGGCCTCATGCCACAGTTATTTTCTTGAGTTTCTTTCCTAAAAGAAAAAAAAAGAAGAGAATTAACCCTAAAAATAGCAATCATATTTCCATACACATCAATGTGAGTGTATTCTTTCTCAATACCTTATCTAGTATTTTTTTCTTTGTATTTATTTATCTAGAGCCCAGCTTGCTAGACAGCTTCACTGGAAACTCATCTAATATGTGGCTACAACTGCAGATCTGCAAAGGGATCAGCATGTGTCAATATCATACAAAAAGTGCAATGTAGTATAATATAAACCAAGAGACAGTTTTGAACGGTATGAATTTCAGGTCTATTTACATAGAAGATATTTATTCTAGGAGACCTAACATTATCCATGAACAGACAAATTCATCCATACAAACATAATCAACCAATGTTGTTGATTATCCTCATGGAAAAGACCAGAGGGCTTAACTGTGATTCTTTTAAACCTTCCAATTCCAACTGAACTCTAATAAAACAGTAGGTCTTCTTACAGATCCCAGAGGTTGATATAAAATTATATGAGTAAGTAAGTATTCAATTACATATTTTCTAATTTTAGGATTTTTCGTATTCTTCCTTTGTTATGGACTTAATATTGTGTCCCCCTCAAGATTCACATGTTGGAGTCCTAACCCCCAATGTGAGGGTATTTGGAGATGGGGCCCTTGGGAGGTAATTGGGATTAGAAGAGGTCATGACGCCATGAGGGTGAAGTCAACATGATGGGATTAGTGCCCTTACAAGAGGACGAAGATCCCTCTCTCTCTCCCCCTCCCTTTTTCTCTCTCAATGTGTGCGCATGCGTGTGTGTGTGTGTGTGTGTGTGTGCGTGCGTGTGCGTGATGTGAGGCCACAGTGAGAAGGCAGCTGTCTGCAAGCCAGGAATAAAGCCTTCACCAGAAAATGACCATGCTGGCTCCTTGATCTTGGACTTACAGCCTGTAGCTTGTCTTTTCATGTTTCAAACAAGGTCTTTCGCAGAAGAAATATTTTTAATTTTGATGAAGTCCAATTTATCAGTGTTTCCTTTTACGAATTGTGCTTTTTGTGTCAAGTCTAAGAATTCACTGGGAAGCCCTATAACTGTGGATTTGTCTTTTTCTCCTTTCAGCTTTGTGAGTTATTCCTACCATATTTTCCAACTCTGTTGTCTAGTTACATACATATTTAAGATTGCTGTGTCTTTGTGGATTGGTCCTTTTATAATTATATAATATCCCTCTCTGTCTCTGGAAATTTCTTTGCTCTGAAGTGTACTGATATTAGTATAGCCACTCCTACTTTTCTTTTTTTTTAATATTTCCATGATATATCTTTTCCCATCCTTTTATTTTCTACCTGCTTATCTCATTATATTCGAAGTGATTTTATTGTTATCAGCATACAGTTGGGTCATATTTTTAATCCAATATGTCAGTCTCCATTGTTTAACTGGCATATTTAGACTATTTACATTTCGTGTTATTATTGATGTGTTAGGGCTTTAGTTTGTCATTTTTTGGGGTTTTTTATTTTTGCTCCTTCTGTTTTTTATTTCTCTGTTTTCTTTTCATGCCCTCCTGTGAGTTACTTGAACATATTTTATAATTCTCTTTTGATCTATCTATAGCATTTTGAATATGCCTCTTTGTATAGATTCCCTGGTATATACATAGGTATAGGTATATGTAACATCACAGTTTACTGATGTTCTCATTTTACCAGCTCAAGTGAAGGATACAAACATTAGTTCCCTTTACTTCTCATTACCCTTACCCACTTATAATTATCTTATTTTCTTTACATATATTTAGAACTGCAACAGTTTTATAATTTTTGCTTTAACCATCAAACATAATTTTGAAAACTCAGGAGAAGAATATAGGCCTACTGTATTTACTGATATTTTTGCTTATTATGTCCTTCCTTCCTGATATAATAAGGTTCCTTCTTATATTGTTTCCTTTCTGTTCAGAGAATTCCTTTAGCTATTCTTTTAGGGTAGGTCCCCTGGGACAAATTCTTTTCATTTTCCTTCCTCTTGATGTCTCCTTCACTTCCGAAACACATATTCATTAGCTGTAGGATTGAGCTGACAATTCAGCACCTGAAAAATACTGTGCCACTTCCTTCTAGTCTCCATGGATTCTGATAAGAAATCTTGTCATTCTAATTATGTTTCTCCTACACATGAGATGTTGTATGTCTATGACTGTCTTCAAGATTTGTCTTTAATTTTCACTTTAATTTTGATGCGCTTTGGCATTGATTTCTTTGGGGCTCATTCAGTGTCCTAATTCGGTAGGTTTACGTCTCTTGCCAAATTTGGGAAGTTTTCAGCCATTATTTCTTTGAGTATTTTTTCAGACCTGCCTTCCTTCTCTCCTTCTAGGACTCCAATGACATGAATATTAGCTCTTTTGTTATAATCTCCCTGGTCCCTGAGGCTCTGTTCATTTATGTTTAGTTTATTTAATCTCAGATAGAATAATTTCAATTTTTTATTTTTTCAATAATTTCAAAGCTATTTGTTTCTTTGTCCACTCCATTCTACCACTGAGCCCATCCACGGGCCTTTAATTTTGCCTATTGTATTTTTCAGTTCTAAAATTTCTATTTGGTTCTTCTTTATATCATCTATTTCTTTGCTGAGACTTTCTAATTTTTTATTTGTTTCACATATATTTTTAGTTGCTCAGTGAAGTATTTTTATGATGACTCTTTTAAGGTATTTGTCAGATAATTCTAACACCTAGGTCATCTTGGTGATTGTCTCTTTTCACTGAGTAGGAGATCTCCCTGGTTCTCATTGTAAGTGACTTTCTGTTGCAACCGGGACATTTTTGTTTTATGTTCTGAGGCTCTGGATCTTAAACTTCTGCTTTAGCTAGCTTTCCCTCAAACTGCTCTGGCAGGGGAAGGGGGAAGCACTATATCATTATTGTTAGGTTGTGGTAGCAGCTTACATTACCCACTTATCCTCCACTGGCACAAGGAGGGAAGCTCCTCATTATTGCTGGAGAAGGGGGGAGGTGTGGTGGTGGCTTAGCTATTTTGAAAGTCTTGACTTTTCACTAGGGATCCTCTGATTCCACCTGAAGGAGGGGAAGGGATGCTTTACTACTTCTGGGTGGGAGACAAAATCCAGTCTCCCTAGTTAGTCTCCACTAACCTGGAGGCTTAGAATGAGGCTTATTATTGGCCAGCAGGGATAAAAGTCCCCGTTCCCTACTTGGCTTTCCCTGACATCACCACAGTGGGGGTGTTGGGGTGTCTCATTAGAACATCACGAAGGCAAATTCTAGGCTTTCCACTCAGCTTGTACAGGTTGAAGTTTAGGGTGATACTACAGAGTTTTATGTGGGGCTTGGTTTGAATAAAATGACTATTATCTAAATGTTTTCTGTCTTGGATCACAGAATTTTAGTGTTTAAAGGAACTTTAAAAATCATACAGTCCAATCCTCTAATTTTATATATGAGGCCCAGAGAAATTAAATATATTGCCTATGATCATAATTTCTAGTTAGCATTAGATATTGGATTAAAACATAATCTTAAAACTCTTTGGAGTCCTACTTCAAGGTTTTTTCTCCTTTACTAGGTACTTTGTACAGCCACATTTAATTCAGGCAATGAACGAATACCATATTAAATATTTCAAAATCATTTTGTATTTTTAGACAACTATGCATTTGTAAATTTAATTGTCCAAATATAAATGTTTCACTTTATCAATGTATGATATTATAGCAAAGTCCTGAAGTTTCTAGAGCTATAATTTCAATAAAAATTGGTGTATTCACATGACCTAATGGTTAGATATTTCTTCTCCTTTCTCCTATAAATTTTTCCAACACTTGCCTTGACATTTGCTCCTAAAATACTTCACTGTTTGAAGTTTAACAGGATATATGCCATTGTAAGAAATGCTATCTTTTCAAAGCTGTGCCTTAAAAGCAGCTCATTTCTCATAGTTCCCAATGGCATATGTCATAATAGAAGAAGATGAGGTATATTTAGAATTTTTGGTATGCTCCTTGGAAGAGGTCTTCGCCTTGGAATAAGAGGAACACGACTGAGGTGTTATCCTTAACACCAGGATTAGAGAATTGGTAACTATCCAAAATGAAGACAAAGACTAAGTCTACCAAATTCCAAAACATTTTTTTGCAGGAGGATCTCCTCAGTTAAAAGTGTCTCTTCAGTCCATGTCTGCTTTTCAGTGTTCGAAATTAGAATGTGAATTTATTTTATTAAGGATAATAAATGAGAATTCTGTCTATGCTTTCAAGAGAGACTCACTGACACCCAATTGGAAACTTGAGATTAAAAACCCTAATATCTGTCTATAGAAAAGACATTTACAACACAAATATTTTAAGGTTTAACATATACTTTTACCTCTTATAAGTAATGAACTGTCTATGTTAAAGACCCAAATTGTGTGCATGATAGAAAAAGTGGGGTGAATAGAAGCAATAAGTTACTGCACTGTGTTTGAGAGAAAAGAGTACACTGGATGTGCAAGTGTAGAAAAATATAAAATGTCACAGGAATATAGTATGAAAATAGGAGCTTATGAGTTATAACAACTAGTGACACATTCATTTGTGCGGATCATATTATTACCTAATATTTCTGTATATATGTGCAATAATTTTGGCCTTCTATTACTTAAGGCTCTGCCACATTTAGCTGATACACAATTTTCATTTTAACACAAAAATCTTCCTTTTAACATTTAAACAATACTTATTGAGTACATAATCACATAATAATTTGTTGTGATATTAATATAATAATTTGTTAAGTATCTGCTATGAACTGGACCAAGTACTAAAAATTGTTTAAACCTAATTATATCTTTATATGTTTGTAGTTCTGTGACATGACATATATTTGCAAATGTGCAAAATTACAATCAAGATTGTGTGATATATGTTGTAAGAGCAATAAACATCATTCTAGTACAGAAGATGAATGATAACTGATTTCTTTTGAACTTCTAAATTCAAGCCCAGGCAACACGTAAAAATACTCCACAGTTAGAAAAGCCCAGGAATCTTGTTTCTAAATTTAAAATCTACCATTGAAGAGAGGATGATTTTCTTAAATTTGCACTTAAGAAAGAAATACAGGCATACAGAGCCAAAAAAAAAGGTTACTTAATGTTAATCTACTTTGATAAAGATTTATATTCCTCTATGAAACCAGATGGTAAAGATTATATATTTTGATATAAAATGGGTAAATATGCCATGATGGAAAGAAAGTATTATGGAGAGAACTTTGATCTATGGAGGTGCTAGAAACAATTAAAGATATGAAAGAAGTAAGTATCACCAGTCCCAGATGGAGTTCCTGTGAATTCGACTAAGTGTTCCAAGACTATTTGACAATTCCTCCAGCAGATGTTTTTAATCTTGGATTGAGAGCCTAAGCATTACCTGGATGCATGAAAAAGGCTACTTTGGAAGTGATGGCAGGAAAGGAATCAGGATTTTGACTCTGGCTCTCCATTTTAATTGGTCTTGGTGACATCAGTATCTGTCAGCCAACACCCACTCTTTGGTGATTATCTCTGTAGGATGCATAAGAAAGAATGTGGGTCAAAAGGACCATTTGTAGACTATGGTAAGAAGGAAATCAAACATGGTTATATAGTCCCTAAAGGTATCCAACAGTAAAGTTTTACACACAACAAGGGAATTAAAAGAAGCGCGGATTAGCTTCCTTCAATAAGGGTAGACTTGGAAGTAGTATGCCATCCTTCTAGATGACAGAGCAGTGGACATCTCATCCTGACATGGCCCAAATATGACAGACAACTTAGAGTTTGAGGGACTACTGGGGAATTATTATCAGAAAAAAAATCTTGGCATAACTGCAAATAGTGAGTTGTCTACTACTGCAAATAGTTGCAAATAGTTGTCTACTACTGCAGCCTGGAGTTTTAGATGCAATGTAAAAGTTCAAGAAAAAAGATGATTTTAGGTTCAATGATGTTTGTTTTGTAGGCAACAAACAGCAAATAAATAGTCATTTACCTCTTTACTATTGGGTAATTTGAAAAGAAGGGTATTTCCAAAGACAGGGGAAATGATCAGTAGACTTTTCATTCATACCATGGAAGTTTTTTGTTAGCACCTTCCAAATCTCATTTGGCAAAAGTCAAATATATTCTCAGCAGAATGCAAATGTGCAAAAATCCAAAAAGGATTTGCTTCCCATGGGCACATGGAAATTTCACAAGGCAAGTGTGAAATTTAAGTGGCAAATTTCAAAACTGTCAAAATTGCTTTCCTTTACTTTTACAGGTAACTAGAGTCATTAAAACCAATTATAAGCTAAGAATTATTTACCAAGAATCTCTCTGTCTCTCTCCCCTCCTTCTCTGTTCCCCCTCCCCAGGCTCTCTCACTGTCTCCTTCTCATTCTCTTTTTTATTCCAGACACTTTCCACTTACAGCCCTAGAGAAATAAATATTTCAGAGAGGAATTCCATGCTTTTTTTGGAGGAAAAATTCCCCAAGAGTTCAGTAACGCTCTATAGAAACAGTTAGTGCTGGGAGGCCTTCCCTGCTATATTTAAAACAATATTATCAGGCACGCCAATTAAAACCTTGTGGGACTGGGTGTGGTGGTGGAAGCAACTTCAGGTCACTACAGTATACAGAGAAAATGTTCAAAGCAAATCTCTAAATGAAAAAATTGAAATTAGGTCTCTTTTCCTCCCATTTTAATAGAAAGGATGGTTCATTCTTATATCCACTCTGCTGTTGATATAACCTTAAAATTTTGGCAACATGTCTCAGAAAAACTGACCACATTCCCGCCTTTTATTCCATGAAAGATGGGGAAATGCTGATTGCTGATCTGGATACGTTTCTGAGGAGATGGAGAGAAGGTTCGTGAACCTTAGCATTATTATAGTTCTCAAGGCAAGACTGTTCCAAGAACAAGTTTGGATAGAGGGAAAGCACAGTGATTTTCCATTTTAGAACACTATTCTCTAGGTTTCTGTATGACTGACCACCCAGAATAATAAAGTATTGTTATAGTATAAATGGTGGCATTCAAGTATTTATGAATCAGTGTAATTTAATAACAGGGCTAGTAAAGTAATTTGATATTAAAGAGAAAGAGAAAAACTATTATATTTCCATAATTATAAGCCACACTTGTTTTCACATTTCTACAATTAGTATTTTTTTAAATTAATTGATGTGTACTTTTGTAGTGAGTTTTTTTTGAAAAGGTGTTAGTAAATCAGTGATGCTTTTTCATGTTATCCTCGATTTGAAAAAGTACATTATTTGCTCTAAAAATGATATTGTTTAATTTTCTGTGGATTTTTATTACTCTGTCTCTCATATCTATAACCAAAAAGACCAAGTGAAAATCAAATGGTAGCTATTACATGATTATATTTGGAAGACTCTCAACTAAAACACACACACACACAATTATGAAGAAGTATGTCATCTTCTTCAAACATCAAAGAGAGCTACCACCCAACACTTCACATTATGAAAGTAGGCCTTGGGCCAGTATGTTAGTTCGTTTGGGCTGTTACAAAAGAATACCATAGACTGGATGGCTCATAAACAAGAAAAATTTATTTCTCACACTTCTGGAGGCTAGAAAGTCTGAGATCAAAGCACTGGCAGATTTGGTGTCTCGTGAGGGCCAGCTTCCTGGTTTACAGAAGGCTGCCTTCTCTCTGTAACCTCACGTGGTGAAAGAGGGTCAGAGAGTTCTCTGAGGCCTCTATTTTCAAGGGCACTAATCTCATTCATGAGGCCTCTGCCCTCATGATCTAATCACCTCCCAGAGACCCCACCGCCAAATACCATCACATTAGGTATCCGAATTTAACATATGAATCTTGGAGGCATGAGAACATTTGGTCTATAGCAGTCAGTGAGAAGTCATATTACTGTTTGGAACCACATATAGTCTAAGTCTAAGGAGTTAAATATCTTCAAACTATGCTGTGTTGTTCCATCCCAAATGTTTCCCTTCTACCCTGATATAAAGGTAGTTGTAGAGAATATTTAAGATAGTATAAGACAGTCACTTATATAGCCCACTAGACAGCTTCTCCACTGAAGCAACATTGAAATCAGAAAGGACAGGTGGGAAGGCGGGAGGGTATGGGATTCATATCTTACTTTTTATAGGACGAAGTTCATCATTATGTATGTGAATTTTCGGCCTTTATAATTTCCTCTCTGAGGGGCTCATATACACAAAGTAAGTCAGTAGTAAACAGCTGCTTAAAGCTGAGTTATCTTCCTATCTGGAATTCTCTCGCTACCCCGTGTAATCCCATGGAATAACACTGTTGGAATAACCAAGTCTATACTTAAGAGATACATCATTTTCTATTTGACCCAACCTTTGCCAGGTACAGTACCTAATTTGGACTAAGTGTAACAAAAATATATTTATATATTTTTTGATTAAAGTCTTAAGTTGGATTTTGATATGCATGGGAGAAAATGGACAAATAAAGCATACTCATTTCTGAAGAGTGTGAGATGATACACTGGACTCTTGAACAAAAGTTCTATGGGTAAGGGGTTGATTGGGGGGGTAGGAAGAAGACATTTGATCTCCCAAGCAGCCTTGGAAAATTATTCATAAAGTCACTCTTCACTGTAAAAAATCTAGTCAATATTTGTTGCTACTCAAAAAGAATTGCAGTTCCTGAAAGCACTGAACTCCTTCTTTTACTTCCTGAACGCTTCTTTTTTTTTTTATTTTTTGAGATCTATAACACTATCCTTATAAATTGGGTAAATCTCAAAAAGTTGGGCTGAAATCTTCTTAATAAAGGGGTGAATTTGGATCAGACTTTAAGTGTTTCAAGGAAGTGTGGAATAAACCACGCTTAAAGATCTTTAGAGTAGGGGAAAAAAGCCTATTGTTCAAACGACTACATGTGGAAAAGGAAAAACATCATAAACACAATTGCTTGAAATAGCTGAACTGCATCCTCAACCATCTTAAATGTAGATAGAAACCAAGAAGTATTGCAAGTAAATATCTTCACCAAGGATGCCAGCATTCTCCCTCTCACATGTGGGTTTTCGAATCAGTTGTGCATAGAAAATACTCAAGCTGAAAGATCTCACTTGGGAGTGGGGAAGAAAGTCGTTGGAAAGAATAGTTTGGGAGGACAGAAAAGATGCTTTCAGTTGGTCCTTCCTTTCAAAAATTCTGTATCTATTTCTTTAATTAAATTACGTACATATAACATCCACCCACATGCACACACAAATAGAAACCTCAAATAAAAGACTTCAGGAGAGTCTATTTGCCATAGACTCATTGTTATCTTTATATATCTTAGATGACCTTTCAATATCTACCTCCTCTCCCTATACTTTTAAGCACAGATTCAGATATAGTTCAGGTCTCTGAACGTTCCCATGGAGATGCAATTCCTCTGCCAGCTAAATCTGAGGCACTTGACAATGGAACACTCCTGACTAAATATTAGTACTCTCATTCTCCTCAATTTGACGACAGATATTTAGTGAGGTAATAACCAGCTCCCAAACATGTACTTAAGCTAGTTGTTTGACTTCCACAAAGATAAAATCTTGAAAATATAAACAGATCTTTAGAACCTGGCCCAGTCTCAAATGAGAAAAGTGTACCTGGCTCTTAATGTTTTTTCTAGCATCTGACAGAAGGGACACGTAAGTCCCGCCATGCCTAAATTATCTTGTCAGGATTTCACACAGACAGTGGAAACTTTTCAACATTGTACCTCATAAAATTGTAACCAGGCTGATAAATCTGTTTATTTTCCCCCAAGTGTGTCCTGGTTTTCATAACACAGACATTTTGTAAGTGTGCTAAGGAATGGCAGCACCCCCATCTGAATCACAGTCTTCATGTCTTCTCTGCCAAGAAACTTGTTTTGTGAATTTTCAACTTCTGTTTTTCCACCACTGAAAGCTAACCATGAGACCTGGTTTGAAGGCAGTTTTGGCAATTTTTTCAAGTGGACTTACTCTGATAGTTGAAAGTGACCTCAGGGAATGATTAATACCTTGTCGGGGTTGATGACATAAATCTGCTCCAGTGTGCCTGATGCAAGTTCTCTCAGAAGTAATGTTACAGCTATATTGCTGTGGAAACTTGGTGACACTGAGCAGACTACACCAGATATAAAATCTTCAAAAAGCATAACTACTTAACTTGGACTTGAATTTATGTTTACTTGACTTGTTACCAATAAAACGCAGTGAACTATTTTCCCTAGAAGTTGCATAACGTGTTGCAATACTATCAAGAAGAAAATCCTTTTCCTTAGAGTTGCAAACGTGCTAACAAAAAGAGAATGAGTGACTTTCTGATGATTTTCATTTCTTGGGTCGCTTAAGCAAGTTTTTCTCTTTGGAGGGAAGGGTGGTACAGTGAAGGTAAGGGGTGGTGGGGCAAAGCAGGTATCAAAAAATCTGTCCTTAAATGTGTGTCTACAAAGGACACTGAAACAAAATAATAGGTTCTGGTCAAAATGCTTGTGGGGGCAATCTTTAACACGGTTGAAAGAATGATTTTATG